AAAAAATTTGGTAAAACATTAATTGATAATTTATTTAATACATCAAAACCAATACAACGTAAACGTTTAGTAAAAAAAATTTCACATATTACATCATTAACACGTAGAAAATTGTCTTCAAGAGCATCATCTATATCATTATCATCATCACAGCCACCCCCGCCACCACCACTACGCTCAACAACATCAATAAATAGAATAGAATCGTCTTCATGTATGGCTTCAACAGCGATCACTTCATCTTCAACATTAGATGATTCCTCTTCGTCTTCATCAGCTGAATTCTCCTCTTCATCATCAGCATCCTCATCGGCTTCCTCCTCATCCTCATCCTCATCATCGTCAATATTGTCTACATCAACAACATCCTCTTTACTAGGTTATCATTCAAGAGAATCAATATCAAAAAGTTCTTTAAAAACAATCGCCACCTATTTATCACAAAATCCTGAATTATATCAAGACATATTTCCATCGAAATGGTGTGATATCCAATGGAAGAGTTTAACACAAACTATAGGCAGACCATATGAATCTGTTATTAAAGTATTTACCCGTGATATTAATCTAGTGTACAATTTGAAAACAGATAGTGAAAAACAATATGAATTGTTTCGTTTACCACCGTTACAACCATTATTATTAAAATTTTATGATAATGAAACAGAATGGCATTATAATTCATGTATATCAGAGTATCTTAGTTCAATATATATTGATTCACCAAAAGTTTCCTGTATTGGAGATGTATTCATTAATATGATATTAATGTTATTTTTAATTGCTAATTGTTTTATCTGGAATCCAAAGATAAAATTAAATTGGCAAACGCTAACCGTCTATATAGGCTGTATATTCCTATATCTATTAGTTTGCGTGTGTTTGTTATTCACAGCAACAACATATAATATATTTATTAAATCAAGCCTATTAAAACGTTATTATAATCTTTTAGTGAATACATATATCCGGGAATTATGCATAGGCATTATTTCTATTATGCCGACTATTTTGTTATGTATCTTCCTGTATACAGTTGAAGATATGGATACGCTGTTAGATCGTAGATCGTATATCTCAGCAGTTGGTTTTCATTGTATCCTATTTCATGCTATTCACCTGTCTTCAATAACAATATTTCGTATTCTATGCATTTTAATCACATTAATATTACTCATTATATCGACAACATTTATTTCTGCTAATCCCTCAGATATTGATATTTGTTCAAATACAACATTATTTATACATAATATCGCTTATGATACATATCGATTTATCTATTTAATTGAATTATTTGCTTGTACATTTCTAGTGATTGAAGTAACTCGACAAAATGAAATCAATAATCGTTTATGCTTTTATGTATCACGTGAATCAGAAATTGTCTCCGATGAAGCAGAGTTAGCTGTCAATGAAGCGAAAGAATTATTATATAATATTATACCAAAATATGTTCTAAAAGAAATACAGCTACATCGCCGTTTTAATCGTATAAATGATCCAAGAAGAAGTATTTTGTCAGCGGGTGGTGGCGCTGGCGCTGACACTGGTGTTGGTCCTGGCTCTGCTTCACCGATGACATCAATTCATTATGCTGTAACAATAACAAATGCAGCAGTGTCATTTGCAACAATATCAAATTTTTTTTCAAAATATTATCGTGAAGATTATAAAGAGGGTGTAAATGCTTTAAAATTATTAAATAATATAATATGTCGTTTTGATGAACTTCTAGACAATGATGAAATGAAATGTGTTGAAAAGATTAAAACAATTAATGATTGTTATATGACTGCATCAGGATTGAATAAAGAAGAAATTAAAAGTTTCACTAGTGCTTCTTCATCAGACAGACATTTAATCACACTGTTGAATTATTGTCATTTAATGATTGAGGAATTAGAGAAATTTAATGATATGTATATTATAGGGAGTGAGAATTTCACTATTAAAATTGGTTATAATATTGGTACATTGACAGCTGGTATCATTGGGACAAGTAAACCAATGTATGATATCTGGGGGGATACAGTGAATGTTGCAAGTCGTATGTATTCAACGGGAGTTGCAGGTGCGATACAAGTACCGGAAAATGTTGCTATCCGTTTGAAATCATCTTTTAATTTTACATATCGTGATGTGGTTTTCGTCAAGGGCAAAGGGATGATGAAAACATTTTTGTGTAAACGATTGAATGAATCGTAGAAAATACAAAATGGGTGAGAGGAAACATAAATAAATAAATATTTGTTGATTGTTGTTGTTCTACGTTTTGTTTACCTTTTTATTTATTGATTCGTTTATGTATGATTATATGGATTAACATGTTTGTTTGAAATAAAAATGTATATACAATATATATTAAAGGATTGTTACTTTTAAGTGTTCGTTTGTAGGGATTTCTTGATGATCTGATGATATCGGTTAGGGGGGGGGAATTATTGGAAAACTAACTAGGGAGGACTGGCCCTAGTGCTTAAGACTCTTCACCAGTACGCACCTACGCACCGCCAGGGTTCGAAACCAGGACCTTCTGGTTACAAAGCCTGCTAGCTCGTAGACCATTAAGCCACTGGGACCCAACCCGATCCAAGGGCTAGCCCATGAATTCTAACTTCTGTCAATTCATGATATAGCACGACTCGCACTAGCCAATGAATGTCACCGGTGACGAGTATTTGTCCTCACACCCGACCTTCTGAACACCACTGGTCACGACAAATACTCACCGAAGACATTCGCTAGTCGTGAATTGACAGAAGTTGGAATTCATGGGCTGGCCAGTGGGTTAATGGTCTACGAGCTAGTTCGCTTTGTAACCAGAAGGTCCTGGGTTTGAACCCTGGCTGTGTACGTGTGCGTACTGATGATGAGTCCCAAGGAAGGGGGCGAAACAGCTGTCTGGCAGTACTCCCTAGTTAGTTTCCTAGTGGTTCTCTAACTCTGATGTCAGCTCATGATGAAATCCTGTAACCAAACTTGAATATTAATTTGATGCTCACTAGCGACTGGCCCTATTCATCAGGTAGGTAGTTAACTGGGTTCTTGTGGAAATTCGTGACAAGTAGTAGGGTGCAGCAGGTTGGGTGTGGGCAGAAGTACTTGCCATCGATGACGATGGCTGGAACCAGTTGCGCGATGTTGTGAATTTGCACAAGTTGGAATTCATGGATTGGCCATTCGATCAGGGTCCCAGTGGATTAATGGTCTACGAGCTTGCCTTGTAACCAGAAGATCATAGGTTCGAACTGTGGCGGTGGGTACGTACCGATGAAGATTTCAAAAAAAGTAGGACGAAAAGGATGTTCAGTATTGCCACTATGCTTGACTAAGATGACTGCGATATGTGTTACGTAATAGAAGTGGTTAGAAGAGTCTCTGTGGAGTTCATCTCCTGGCCTTATGTAGAGAAATTAGATAGGGAGAGTAAATGGAAAGCAGTAAGGCTGTAGAGTTTCATTGATGCAAAATGTTTTAGATAAGTGTTAAGCAACGTCTTTCTCAATGGCAATCATTAATGTGAGATTTTGCTTTAAAAGGTTGGTTAATTTCAGCCATACATGAACATGTAGCAAGGTTTAACTTGAATCATCAACATATTGATAATCAGCGATTATTGTTGTTATTATTATAATATTATAATTATTGTTCCCTTGGTTTTCCAGTGGAACATAGGGCTGACTTCAACAACACACCTCCACTTTGTTCTATTTTCTGCTTTCCTGTCCTCTTTAACTGAGCCCACGATTGCCCATAATCTCTTATCTCCTCCTCACACGATCTCCTCCATATAACCCTCAGACATATGCCCAACTCATCTTTTCCCATTCAGGTTCCACTTGACCGATCGCCTGCATTGAGAACGATGTCATTCAATGGTCTCCTAAGTGTGTTCCTAGTCTATATCCATTTTCCCCTACATATTCGTCAAGAAATAGTTTTTTTGGGTTGTTTGTTCCCAGCTAGAGTTTTTGTTGTTAATTCTTTCTCGTTCTCGACCGATAGCTGCCACCTTGACATGGTGGTCGGGATCGCATATCTCAATGACCCGACTAGCTACACTGGCTGAAACTATTACTCCTTCAGGTCTTACTATATCAGGAAGGTTCTTAGGATAGCGATTAGACTAAAAGCAGTCACAGGCATTGTGTAAGAATTTTTTACACTATGCTGGGGGTCTGCGGACGAAGTCGTACTGCGGGGGGGAATAGGGATGTAACATCAGTAAGGTGTTTCCCTCAGATGACCAGCATGCCAGTCAGCTATGCTGTCTCTAGACTCTGGAGAGAGGGGGCTAGAAGAGGTCGACCCCAACAATTGTACATCCAGACTTACCCCACCTACAGTGGTCCGTGACCGGCGGTAAGTTTATTAATACGGAACCAAACCAAGAAACCAGTTCATACAGGCCATGTGTGACCGACCGGCCTCAAGCAGCTGTCCCCTGGGCTCTGCGGTCAGGCAACACTAAACCTCTTTCTGTTTCAGGTACCCGAAGACTCAGCCAACTTCCTTGGTGTGGGCAGCCGGAAATTAACAACCGCCCACACACCTCCACTTCTTTCTCGTTAGCTCTTTGATTTTCAATAGGGCTCAGGTGTTAATAAAAGTCTTCAGCAGGCTGCTGGAAATAAGCATTCGCCAAGTTTCTGACCCATATAGGAGAAATGGCTTCACATTTGTGTTGAAAATTCAGCTAGAGTATTACTTTATTCATACTTTGTTTGCCTAAAATGGCTAGGATATGCGTTACGTAACATCGCTCATAAGATGATACGTATCTGAAAATAAGCGTAGACCTTGATAAGACTCATTCAACAGCAATGCGGAGATGCCATATACCATAGGATCCACAGTGGAAACTCCAATCAAGTCTTCGAAATGAAGACAAGAGTAAGAGAAGGATGTTCACCGGTGTAGCAACAGAAGGCAAGACACGGAAGCCAATGTATATTTTCCATTTATCGAACCGCTGTTTATATGTATACAGTTTATATTCGTTAACCAGTCACTGAGTGTGTGATTTTGGTTTACGTCAAACGAATGTTCAAATAGATATATCGTATTCTGTTGCTGATGCAGCAGTGAACTGTGGGAATATGTGATAATAATATTCTGTTGGCACATATTGTCTGTATCACACCAGCACACTCGTACCCCTGTCAAATACTTTCGACTGAAGTCGGTTAGACCTTCTTGGTGCCGGTGACTTTGCTGGTTTGTCTTGCTGTATCCAGTTCTGGAGCTCGCTGATGTTCACCCGCTTCTTTTTGTTTGCACTTCTGATCGTATATAGGTGACCCTGTCTCACAGTGACTACGTACGCTCATTCCCACTTTGGGAGCCGTTTGCATGACCTTGGTGCACATTCGCCGGTGTTTCACCTCATACTATCATATGTTGCCGTCGTCCGACCTCCCAACAGCGTTCTAAGTAACAGCCTCATCTTTGATGAATCTTGAATGCCACTCAGCTGAGCAACAGCCTCGAAGTCCTGTCCGAAGATCCATATGTCTCATTCTTCGAAAAGCTGCAGGTCATAGGCTTTCCATATGTCAACAGGCAGCGACACCAAATGTAACAACAGAAGGCAAGAAACGGAAGCCAAGGCATATTTTCCATTGATCAAACTGCTCTTTGTATATATACACTTTATATTCTTTCACCAATCACTGAGTGAGTGATTTTGGTTTACATCAAACGACATGAAACAGAATGTTCAAATAGATATATCGTATTCTGCTACTAATTCTGTATTGACCTGTGGGAATATATGAAAATAATATTCCGTTGGAACCCATTGTCTGTATTACATCACCACAACGGAACCAATAATATACCTGATTGCAGTGGACTGATTCATCCGGCAGACCGTAGGGAGGGAGAAAGCAAAGAATACATTGGACTGACAAGAAGACTTTAGAAGACATAAACTTTGGGGATAATTCATATGTAATGTCACACATGAAAACTAACAGATCGACAAAAGAAGCAGCCAGTGAATACAGGACTTCAGGAGAACATAAAGAAGGCAGAGTTGATGAAGGTACCCAGCCGACCAGTAACAAGAACAGCGACAACAAAGATAAGTACCAATCACCATCAACTGGAGGAGCCTGAAGTAAGTGATCTACTTGAAATACTTCAGCAGCATTGTTTCAACTAAAGACGGTCGTACAGATAAGCATGTTCAAACCAGGCAGGATTAGAAAGGCAAGACAAACCTTCATTCATCTGAAATCAATATAGAAATCTTCTGTTTTTTATCCCTTTACGTTCCCAGTGGAACATAAGGCTCCTTCAAGTTAGAGGCTAGGCTTGAAGTTTCGGTACCAGTGGTATTTATTTTTAGGGGATGGGGTTGCTAGCCTCATGTCCCACAACCTTCTCTCTTTATCAATCTTATTACTGACTTAGCGAGGTAAAGGAGTGCTTCAGTAGGGTGGGAATCGAACCCCAGACCACATGAGACGTGGTTGGCGAGCATTCTACCTCTGTGCCACCGATGCACAAGAAGTTTTCTGTATTCAACATAAATAACAAAATTCAGATTTTCAACGCTAATATCAAGTCAGTTTAACTGAATTTTAGATTTTCCCGTCGATTGATTGGATCGAAGTGCTCGGTCTCAAGTTGACATGTCTGTCGGCTTCTTGTGTAGATGCTTCGAAAATGTCTGGGCATTTAATCAGAATTTAATTGGTGGATGGTGACTAGCAGTGGAATACAGGACAACGCGCATTTCGTCCTATTTGGGACTCGTCAGCCAGTGGATGTACCTGCATTCCGCCTTGAGTGATGATATTCCCACCGAGGCTTGAACCCAATTTAATGTTTCTATATGCTTCCGTGAATTGGCCTAAATGTCACCAAAAACATCTCCAATAGTCTGTTGCAGACTTTTGCCAACAGCTACGAGGAATTCTGGAAACGAATCAGTTTAAGAACTCATAGCTCACCATAAATATACCAAAGAAAATTGAAATGGATTGGATACAATCTGAGGGGATCTTTGTGTGATATCACGCGCCAAACCTCTGAATGGAAGCTGAGAATAGAAAACGACAAGTTGAGCGTCGGTGAGGAAAAGTTGGTGAACAGTCTTAGAGGCAGCTAAAAAGGACTGAAGACAACAGGATGAAATAAAGATGTGCTAGTGAAGCCCCACCCTACGTTCCAGTTGGGATCTAAGTGAATAATAGTCATTTTTATGAGTTTGTTTGTAGCGATTCCATGTGTTTCAAGTTTAATCACAGATTGATATTAGTTAGAGAACCA